ATCAAACATCCCAGGATGATAATTATGAGCCATAAGCTATGTGATCACCAGCTACATGCAAAATGGCCAATGCATTCCTTTCATTCAAAACCACATCTGGATCTCTGGGAAACAGCCTATATGCCTTTGACCTCTTTCTCACTCTTTCAATGGAATTTGGACCTGTTGGCTCTTTGGGTGCTTTGTGTTCACCTCTAGCTACCTGGTCAACTCAGTAGCAGATGTTATAACTGAGCTACTTATACTCCCACCTCCCAGGTCTTCCCCCACCTTCGTTTTTATCCAGAGAAGGTAAGATCCTGGCTGCCAGCATTTCTGGAAATATTAAGGAAAGAGGGCTGGAATCTCATATCCCATCCCTTTATGGGAAATTACTCTCTAGTATCTACATAGACCGTGGTGCATAAAAAATGATGGTATACCCTCATGTAAGAACTGAAGGTGCTTAGCTCTAGCCATATTGTTCCAGGGGGCAAGTTTCTTCTCTTTGATGCTAATGATATCAGTGACACAATTTTCTCTAACTACTGCTACTGTCACTCTTTTATGACTTCAGATCTGAGAGTGTAGTGGGTACTAGGCAGAAAGCTCAGGACATAGAATAACTTACGTCCCTGATGGGATGGGTCATCCAGGTCCAATGCTGGATGCACTACTTTTTTCCATGTGCCTTTGGGCTATGTCTCTCGGCTGCCATTGCCAGGCCACCCACCCTGTACAGTGGCCTCCTTTTGAAATGGTGTTCTCGTTCTCCTCTGCTTTTCAAGAGGACTTGTGCATTACTCAAATTTGAGAAATGGCAGAGTAAAGCAGTGTTTCTAGCCAGTCCTAGTAAAAACGCCAGTATGTTCCATAGTAGGATCAAAGATCAATGTGACGTTTACTAATGAATCTGTAGCATGTATCAGATTGACTAGTTATCCTGCATCGCGGTATAGTGGTGGAGCTTAACATGAGGCCAGCTGAATATTGATGAAGGAAGAGGCTTAGCATTTATTTAGAATTTACTAATCCTAACCATGAGGTAATTGTCTTAGTCTGTTTGAGCTGCTATAACAAAATATCACATATTGGGTGGCTTATTAAAAACAAATTTATTTCTTACAATTCTCGAGTCTGGACGTCCAAGATCAAGGTGCCAGCATGGTTATGTTCCCATGTGGGGCCTCATTCTAGTCTATAGGCAGCTCCTTCTCACTGTCTCCTCACATAATGAGAGGGGCTAGAGATCTCTCTGGAACTCTTTCCTAAAGTCTTAATCCCATTAATGGGGGATTATGTACCTCCCAAAGGCCCTGCCTACTAATGCCATCACTTTGGGCATTAGGATTTGATTATGAGACCATAGCAGTGCTCAAGAAGAGAAATATGAGAGTAGTGGAAGGCAGGGAACAGTCTTCTTTTCACCTACATTTTGCCTCTGTATGAGCCTAATTTCAGAAACTTAATCAATGTAAGACTTATCATGATTGTAGATAGCCCTTTGTTGGTAAGGCCAGTTTCTATCCCCTCACACCCACTTCCTTCCTCACCTGGTCCTCAGTAGAGGTTGGTGAGCCCTCAGTTTCATTCTCTGTTTTATTCTTCACATCATCGTGTTGGGAGCACTAAGCTCTTTATCTCATCATTTTATATTTGAGGTAACTCAGTTCTATTTTTCTCAAAGTGCCTTTCCTGAGACTTCTTTGATGATTTGCTCAAGATCTCTTATCAAGCTACATAGAATAATCACAGGCTCCCTTCAAACACTAAGCCGAGTCCCTTGTGAGGATTTTCCTTCTGAGACCAGTCTCCGATCTAAGCGCAACTTCACAAAAGTTGCTGGTGAGCTTACATGCAGTTTTTGCTTGAATTCGTTTGAATTAACTTTAAGTAGAGCTACGGTAACAGTGAAAGCTTTTGACAGGGACAATCATGGGTTTAAGAGGACTAATATGAAGTGAAAAGAGAGTTACAAGTGGAAAATGTGAGAAACTGTTAGGTAGATATATGATTTGATGCCAGCATGTGTGACAGGAAAAGAGAGGTATTTGTTTACCTGATATCTGAGGGTGAACGTTGTCTTGAGAATACTTGGAAGAAAGCATTCTATGGAAGAAGAAAAGATTTCTGGAGACCTCAACTAAAGAAAGAACAAAGTCATGACTTATTGGTTTCCTCACGGGTGATTTCTTCTTTCTTCTTTGATTACCAACAGTTGGTTTTACATTATTGTGTATCCGACTCTCTCTCTCTCTTTTTTTTTTTAAACAGAGGTAACTTCCAAAGAATTTACCTATGTATCTCTTTACCTATTCATCTATCCATCATCTAGTATCACAATTTGGTCTGGCATGGAATTTTTTATGTTTTTTTTTTCACATTGTACTGTAATAGTCAGATTACACACACACACACACACACACACACACACACACACACTAAACCACACACTGAATTCTTTGAGAAGGACTGAATTCTTTGAGAAGAGGGTCTAAACCTTATTTGAACTTGGTATCCCTGGGGTCCAGCAGAGGGAGCTTTGGAATGAATGAATGAGCTCATGATGTAGAGAACAGAGACTATACACCTTTATCTTAAATTATTTTTTTGTGTATGTCTTTATAAGCTAAGTGGTTAACTTGCACCAATGCAAACTAATAGAAGAGTTGAGAAAAACAAGAGTATAAGAAAGTGTTATAGGGATTAGGCACTCAGCCAGTCCTTGAAGGGTGGAGAGGAATTGGATCAGTGAATAGGAGGTCGGAAGATGTTTGAGGAAGGAGAATCATGTCAGCTAAGGTGTGGAGTCAGGAAAGTATCAGGTGTGTTGGAGGAACAGTTTGGATCAGCATGCTCAAGATGATGATTTGTGTTGGAGAACGATGGGCAGAAGCCCCAAAGTTTGGTCTGGTCTATAAACATTCGTATTTTAACTTTTAGGCCCAAATGAGATTGTTGGGCAGTAAAGTGGGGTGGAAAGTACTAGCAGCTTTGACGAGAGGACTGCCACAATGAAAGCACAGGGGTAAGAAAGAGTTTAAAAGCACTTTATTCATTCTACACACACACACACACACACACACACACACACACACACACACACACACACACACACACACATGCCATCACAATGCTAGCGGCTGGGAATACAACATTAAATGAGAGTTATGAGAGTCTATAAGTATCTACCCTCAAGAGCTGGAGAAGAGGTAAACAGACATTTACAATACACGTTGTAAGTTGTTAAGGGGTACATATGAGATAATTGGCCATTAGAAGAAACATCCTTGGAGCATGGGCAGGGAAGATCTCCCAGAAGTGACATTTCAACTGCGGGGTAAAACATAAGTACCAAGTTGCCAAGTAAACGAAGGTTTCTGAGAAAGAAAATCCAGAGGAGTGTGGATTTAGAAGGGAGTGTGGCACTTCCAGGGCATTCCAAATAGTTTACCCTCGCATGAGTACCGGGAATGAGAAGATGGGAGTAGGGAGATGTGGTGACCAGGAAGTGGTGACTGATGGAGTTGGAAAGGTTTGCCAAAAGGGCCTGGCTTACAAACCTAACCTAGCTAGAGATTGCATTACTAATATTTAAAATATTCTTCCTTATATACCCCCTCTGAGATATTTACCAGATTACTAATTTCTTTTTCATATTATGTGATCTAAATTCATTGCATTCTCTTTCCCCTAAGAGTAAGAGCTTTATTTGGGTACTCAAATCAAAACCACTGTCCTCAATGTACAGAGACTCTAGTTTTCTCTATCGATAGTCTAAATTCTATTAATAGATTTCTAATATTTTTGTTTTTGAGTTCCTGGAATAAAACTTGTTTTACTAAAAAAGCATTTTTCTGAGAATTGGCAAATTCATTTACTACTACTCCTTTTCAGATTTTCGCTTATACATTTTGTCAAAGAGATTGTTTTTTAGCTGTGTTTTTGAGTGGTCAGATGTCAGAGAGGATAAGTAGAACTTGGTGAAATAAATCACTAAGTAATTTCCCATTGTTTTCTATAGTCTAGTACACATTAAATACTATAGGAATGATCTTTTTCTGACATTTTGAAAGCTTTATTATTTAATAAGGGAAGCTTCTAACAGAGTCTTTAGAATTTGCTGAATATAAAATTATGTCATCTGCAAATAGAGACAATTTCACTTTTTCCTTTTCAGTTCAAATACCTTTTATTTATTTTTTCTTGCCTGATTGCTCTGGCTAGGACTTTCAGTACTGTGTTGAATAGGAGGGGTGTGGGTGTGCACCCTTGTCTTCCTGATCTTAGACGGAAAGAGTATGACGTTAGCCGTGGGTTTGTCACATATGGTCTTTATTATTTTGAGGTAGATTCCTTTTATACCTAATTTGGTGAGAATTTTTATCATGAATGGATATTGAATTTTTTAAATTGCTTTCTCTGCATCTATTGAGATGATCATGTGATTTTTTCATTCTATGAGTGTGATATATCACATTTTTTTGACAAATGTGAATAGTGTAAGTGCCTGACAGTTGGATTTTTTTTTATAGTAATGCAAGTGCATGACATTAAGCTTTTGATTGCTGACGCATCCACTTCAAAGACAACTATCTTGAATAAACATATTGCCAGCCTTAAGACCAGATAAGAACCAGGCCACCCCACCCCTGAATTCCTTTTGTATTAGACATCTCTGGTTAGATCACTGAATGTTTGACTTCTTGTTTTTCTCTTCCAGTGCTTTAATTCCTGCTCATATGTTTTAAATTCACTAATAAAGAGTGAACCTGTGAAACCCTAGACATCCTACCCTCCATCTCAATAAAAACAGAAGCCAGACATTCTCCCTCCTTCCCTCCCTCCCCACCCCCCTCTCTCTCCCCACCCCACACACAGACTCTCTCTCTCTCTCTCTCACTGTCCCCTATGACTTTGCTGTGGCCGCAGGCTGGCTGTATATTCTCCAGGACCCATGAGCAATAAATCTCATTTTTCCCCATAGTTCCCTGATAGTTATTGCTGAAGTGAGTCTTACAATCATGATAAGGACCACAGGTCTGGTGGAGCCACAGCATTGGTTGCAAAAGGGAAAATGTTCGTAGGGGCTCTCTGTGGGCCCAGGTGAGTGCCCCTAGAAATTTCTAGCTGACAGTATCACTACGGATAGGCTGATACCAGCACAAAACAATATATTGAACCATCCTTGCTTCCCAGGAATAAATCCTACTTCATCATGGTGAATGATCCTTTTACTGTGCTGCGGAATTTGATTTGCTGGTATTTTATTGAGAATTTTGGCCTGTAATTTTCTGTTCTTGTAGTATCCTTATCTGGCTTTTGTATCAGGGTAATGCTAGCCTCATAAAATGAGTTTAGGAGTGTTCTCTCCTCTTCAAATTATTGGAAGAATTTGAGAGGGATTATTATTAATTTTTCTTTAAATGTTTGGTAAAATTCGCCAGTGAAGCTATCTGGTTCTGTGCTTTTCTTCTTTGAAAGATTTTTGATTATTAATTCAGTGTCCTGACTAGTAATTATTCTATTCAGATTTTTTATTTCTCTCTGATTCAGTCTTGGTAGGTTGCATGTATAAAAGAATTTATCTATTTCTTCCGGATTGTCTAGTTTGTTGGCATATAATTGTTTATAGTAGTTTCTTATGATCTTTTGTAGTTCCATGGTATCAGTTGTAAAGTCTCCTCTTTCATTTGTAATTTTGTTGATTTGGATCCTCTCAGAAAAGCTTCTATTCGTATGAATTTTACTGCGAGAACAACTTTAACTCATGAATTTTGTTTCTTTGTATAGTGCTTGCATCTTATCCTTTTTCCAAAGAATTTGTGATTGTGGTTTGCATTTCCAATTTTATATAAAAATTGCTTTAAAGTGTTTCTAGTTTTTAAATTGGTTCCCCCATGAATTAAAATGATTGCTAAAATTTTCTTTCCTTTTTAGGAATAATATTGTGATAATAGATTTTGGTCTAGATTGGTATAAGCAAATTTTTGTAAAGGGCCAGATAGTATGGCTTTGCAGATAGAGAGCCTCTATTGCAATTATTCAACACTGCTATTGTAACGGGCAAGCAATCATAGACATTATGTGAAAAAATGAGCTACGTTTCAAGTGGTTTTGTTCCAATGAAACTTTATTTGCAAAAGCAGATGGTGAGTTTAATTTGCCTATAGGTCACAGTTTGCTGACCCCTGGTCTAGACTACAATTGATTTTTTACAACTTAGTGATTTTAAAAATCTTAATGTAGGATTAACTTTTATAAATATTCTCTAAATATTTATATGTAATTTATATGACATAGAATATATATATTCTATATATGTATGGTAAAATTTGATTTCTTAAATCTTATCACATATAATTTAGGCCATTTTAACCTTTTTTGGGCCAAGTTTCTCAATCTTTGACAAATCAGTTCATTTCTATCGATTATAATAATTCGATTTGGCACAAATAAAATTTCTGCCAGTTGTCCTCTAAAAAAATTCCAGGAGAGCATCAAAACGTCTTTCTAAAAAAGACTATGAACTGGTAACTCATCACTCCATAGTTATTTTTGTTTGGCCTTTACAATGGGGTTTTTCGTTTGCTTGTTTTTGCTGGAATTAGTGTTCAACACTTAGATATCAGTAGATTTTATATCCTTTACTCCATTAAATCTAAGATGTCTAAGATGCTAGGATTGATTTTAAGATGTACCATTATTTTATATAGCACTAAGGAAGAAAAAAATTGCTGCCAATTGTAATCGTAAGACACTATTGATTGTAAGATGTATCCTTATTTGAAAACTGTGAAAAAAATGTACTTCAGTTTCAATGTACTATCATAAAGATCTGGATTTGTGGCTTCCTTTATACATGGGAGGATCTGATAGCATTAGGACCACATTGTCATATCACAGTAATGAGGCTGGAGTTGAGTACTAGCTGCTCCTTTTGAAGGCTGTGAACTTTGTTCCAAAATTCCCATCTGGCTCACTAATTTATGTAGTTACCTGCAGGTGTGACCCCTGCTCTATGATGATAGACCAAATCCAGAGCCACATTCTCCCTTCCCTGTGGAAATAGATGGCTTCTTGTAATATTGGAGAGACTACTTGACATCTCATTCTGCAGCATTTGAATTGTGATGACTTCACCAGCATCTGGAGCTTCCTTGATGAAAGAATAGGTACTTTAATAAAGTACATCTGTGTGATGAAGGTGCCTCCCAAAACAAAACACGTCTGCCCTTTATCTTTGGATAGATCCTAGGTTCAAACTAAGAATCACGGAAAGCATGGTTCTTGCTGTCTCAGGATAGCAAGTTTGTTCCTATTTCCTGATACTAAATGATCAGAAACATTGAGATCCTTTCTCAGTAGAAGGCTGAAACATTTCTTTAAGTGATTAAAGAAATGGACATTTACGTATCCAGTAGGATTTATTTTTAATGTGATGACAAGAAGCTAGAATATTTTCTTGTTCAGTTTAATATTAAATACCTAGCAACCATTTATGTATTCATCGTAGATACTTTAACACTATAACAAAACTTTCTTTGCTTTTGGCTATGAATTCTAATTGTTTACCATAACTATAGCTCTCCCTACTTTTTTTCTTGCCACTTACCTAGCATATCTTTGCTTGTTCTTTTATTTCAGAACTTTCTCGTTTTGTACCCAGAAATTATAGAGGATGAGAAGCACAGTATTTTCCAGCATGCACTGCTTATAGGGTTCCTCTTGTTTCTCTCCAGCAAACAGCGCTTTAGGGTCACTCCTGGAAGACAGTGAACTACTGCCTTCTTCCTTCTTTCAGCCCATTCGTTTTCGTGAGATATCTTTTCTTGTTTCAAAGAGCGAAGCCTGGTTTTGCCATGTGGAAAAGTCTTGACTGGTGTTCCAATCCATCTCTTCTCAGTGGAAATTACTCATAGAGTCTGATATTACATTGTTTCTAAGCCTTAGGTTTTGGTGTAGTAAGTTCTTATATTTCTCTGTACCCTCAGTGATGTGATACTGTGAATTTGGTAGAGTCGGGCACCATTTTAACCAAGAAATTCTAAGGGTTGTTTTTCATCACTGATCCTTCCTTAGCTGGAAAGGGAGTTACCAGCTGTGGGTTAACGTTTCTGACTTCGATGTTTTTTTTTTTTCTTTTTTGTTCAGCATGAATAATTTTGGGGAAAACAATTTTATTTATTTTTTTGCTTAGTGTTTCCTTTTCCAGAAACATCAAGTACATTTTGACCATTACTTAGAAACAATGCATAGGCTGTTTGGGTCTTCTGTGTTTGGTATGTGTGTGTTTTTCTAAACAGATGTTGAGTAAAATCTTCAGGTCATGTGTGAGGCAGAATACTTAGAAGAATGCTTCAGAGCCCTGCCGACTTTAAACAATTTGTTAAATCCATTGTTTATTAAAGTGAGACAATGGAAAAGAGGAAGTAGTGGAAAGCTGCTTGGTTAATATTAAATGAAAGTCATCCTTCTCACCAACATAAGACATGTCAAACCACAGTAAATTATAAACTAAATGAAGTTTTGAGAGCTGGTTCAGAAATCTTTGAGCCAAACCAAACCAAAATACAGCCCTAATGGCATGAGTTTTATGTGAGATGTTTTGCCAGAGGTGAGTCTGCAAAAGGTGGATTCTCAGGGTCAACCTTGGGATAACTCTCCAAGTTGAAGAGGTGTAGTTGGTACAAGCCTTGAAAAGAGTGGATTAAGGAAGACAGGGAAGATTTTCCTGCTAAGATAAAAGAACTGGCACCACTTTAGACTAACCAAATGCTCAGTTTTTAATGTGTTTTCAAGTAAGATCAAACATCTACTCCAAGCAGGCTGCAGACTCCCAAGGAAGCCGAGACAACCAGGCAGAGGAGGCAGGGTTGGAGGGGTAAGAAAGATTCCTGGTTGCCTTACTTGATGGTTAATTTTACGTGTCAACTTCGCTAGGCCAAGGCACCTAGATATTTGGTCAAACAGCAGTCTAAATGTCACCGTAAAGGCATTTTTTAGATAAGATTAACATTTAAATGGGTAGACTTGAGTAAAGCAGATTACTCTCCATAATGTGAGTGGGCCTCAAGTAGTCAGGCAGTTCAAGGTTTTATTTAACAAAGACTGTGGTCTCCTGAGGAAGAGGGAGTTCTGACTGCAGATGGCCTTTAGCTATATTAACTCTTCTAAGCATCTCCAGTCTGCTGGCCTGCTCTGCAGGTTTTAAACTCGCCAGCCCCACAACTGGTGTGAGCCAATTTCTTAAAATAAATCTCATTCTCTCTCTCTCTCTCTCTCTCTCTCTCATATTGATCATATTGGTTGTTTCTCTGGAGAGTCCTGACTAGTACAGCTAGCAGAGTGTAAAGAAAATATGTAACTCCACAAGCCACCTAGGCAAGTGCCAACTTATCCTTTCTTTGGTAATAATTCAGCCATTCTCCCCAAGGCATGCAGTCAGTTCACACCTGAATCTAAGAAGCCTCTAGAATGGCTCGCCATTGCCCACAAAGTCAAGTCCAGACTTCTCTGGCTGTGAGTTAGGACCTGTTAAAATCTGGCCTCATGTTTACTGTTCTACCTATCACCCTCCAACACAAAACCACTGCACTAGGCTGACAGTTTCTCTTATTCTATCTGCATTTGCCATTTTAGAATTTCCTCTTCCGCACCTTGGCACAATCTGCTTCTTATGAGTGGAATGTTGTCTTTTCTTCTTCAAATCCTTCCATTCCTTCAAAGCCCAGCTTAAGTGAAACCTCCTTCATGCACTCTCTTATGACTTTTCCAGTTTCTCAACTCCACTTGTATCTCTAGTCTGCCTCACATTGCAATTCCTTGTTTTCCAACATTGATTCAAGAATGTGTATCGACTCAACTGTAGAGTCCTGGAGAGAAGATATCAATTCTTGTGTTCATTCTGTCTATCCTGCGGAACCTACTACAGTGCTCAGTGCATGAAGGCATCGTACAGAAGTTGACAATTGATGGCCGAGAGAATGCCATCTGGGATTATGCAATTTGACCATAGAACCATAGGTATGTGTTAAACTGTGCAGTCTGCTACATTCTTTCTTTTAGGAGGAAATGGTCCTTTCTTGATGTAGTTTCAGTGTGAA